GGATCAAGGATCGAACCCGTGTCCCCTGCATTGGAAGGCGGATTCTTAACTACTGGATCACCAGGGAAGTGCCACTATGCTGCTTCTTGAAGGCGCTCTGTTCCTGCACCTGTCTCCTTGGTCCAGAGCACTCCCCCTCCCTGGACTGCTCTCCCCACCCCACTCATTACCTACCCACCCTCCAAGTCAGTCCAGAACCCTTGCCTTTTCTGCCAGGACTTCCCCTGCCCCTCAGTCCTTCTCTACCACATTATACTTGGTCATTACCTCTACTATACCATTTATCAATTTTGATTATAATCATTTATATTTCTCCCTTCCAGGAGAGATAAGCCTCTTAAACGCAGAGACAATTTTGTTTTTCTCTTTGTCTCCCCAGGGCTTGGCACATAGTAGATGTTTAAATACTACTGAATGAAAACCAGTAATTTATAAAGTGCTTGGCTATTTACAAAATGTTTTTCAAGTGCATTATTTCTATTACTATTCTAGAAGTGGCTCCATTTTTACCTGTTATTAGCCGTTATCATCAGCCCAATTATTTTGCAAATGAGGACACTAAGGTTCACAGAGGGTAAGGAACTTGGCTTAAGATATTCAGCTGTTATATGGTCAGGCTGGGCTACAAAGCTTGAATCTACTGACCAGAAAGCAGAGAGACAGGTACAGGAAGAATAGAAACCTCAGCAGACTATCAAGTTCATCAGATCTTTTTTACTGAACAGTATGACAAGGGAGCTAGGAGGCTGGGTATTTAAGACTCACTAGTTTTAAGATTTTAACCATGCTGGACCTCAGTTTTCTCCTCTATAAAATGACAGGATTGTACTATATAAGTAATTCTCAATTATCTTATATTTCATGTCCACTAATCTTTCTAATCCAGAGATTCCCAAGCTTTCCCGGTTCCTGGTGCCCCCGGGCCAAAAGAAATACCTGAACAATTCTCTTTATTAAGTAATGTGGTCTAAACAACTTAGTAGTAGTTGGCGTGGTATCCAACCATTGTCTGTGCCCCTCAAAAACTTAAAATAACCCACAGTGCCTCTGTAAGTTTGCTTGTCACACTAGGGTGGTTCAGCACACAATTTAAGAATCACAGTTTTAATCAAAGAAACTCAGCTCTACTCTGATAGAAATAAAAAGTCTCTTTTTTAGAGAAAAATGCTTATATCATAGTTATTTACACAAGTTTTAAACACATGATCATTATAATGGCATTATTGAAGGTATATTTTAACACCAGAGTTTTAAAACACAGATAATTCTGTTAATCTGAAACATAGCAAAATGTTGCTGGGAATATGGTTTACTGATATCATCATCATAAAGCACAAAATAAATTCTGGTAAAATATTATTAGAATTATTGTAGCTCTGACTAACACATAAAAATAACCATTCTATTAGAAGTTAAATGATAGTAATACTATTGACATTCACTTTTACAGCTATCATTATAAACTTCAAAGATAAAAAAATAAATCCATCACCAGGAAACATATAATGATTATTGAACCTTATTGTTGAGAAGCCTGTAGTTGCATTTTGCTGAATAGCATCTCAGTTCTTGGAATAAAGTTTTAAACAGCAACTGGAAGAACAGCTTTAAGTTAAAAATGTTTTATTTTTAGAGTTGTCATGGTGTAGAAGTTATTCTCACATAGCTAAGTTGCTGGAAAGAGTCCAAGTTTTGTGAAAGTTTTTCATTAAGTGTTTCATGTTGTCCCTGCTTTACACCCAAACAATTGCAAACTCTTCATAAGCTGTTGTAATACTGGTTTAGCTGATAAATTAAGAAAATCCCCCTTCTTTGAAATCCTAAGCCACAAAACATGTGTTACATTGCTAATAAGGAGGAGTGGACAGAGATGGGCCACCCAAAGGTTCTCCTATTCCTGCATGATCTGCAAGGAGAAAACAGCAATTTAATTGTAATTCTTGCTTATCCGGGTAAACAGTTACCACCAATACAAGGTACCCAACTGCACAGAGATGGAGCCTAGAGCAGCAGGAGGTGGTACATAAAAACACAGGTACTCCAGGAAACTGGGGGAGGGGCAGGACAATAATTAATAGCTGTCAGGTGTGGTTTGCAGGATGTAGGATGTGGCTGGTGGGCTAGAGGAAGAGAATTAGAAGAAATGATGCTCATCCAAGGTTTTTTTTTTTTTTTTTTTTTTTTTGCGGTACGCGGGCCTCTCACTGTTGTGGCTTCTCCCGTTGTGGAGCACAGGCTCTGGACGCGCAGGCTCAGCGGCCATGGCTCACGGTAGCCGCTCCGCGGCATGTGGGATCTTCCCGGACCAGGGCACGGACCCGTGTCCCCTGCATTGGCAGGCGGGCTCTCAACCACTGCGCCACCAGGGAAGCCCTAGCTTTAATTTTTAAATAGTTTTAATTAATTTTGATTTTACTTTAATTAATTTTTAAAAGCTTTAATTTTAAAAAAAGCTTTTAGTTTCTTATTGTGGAGATATATATGTATATATATAACAAAATATACCATTTTAACCATTCTTAAGTGTAGAATTCAGTGGCATTAAGTACATTCACATTGTTGTACACTCATTACCACCATCCATCTCCAGAGTGTTTTCATCTTCCCAAACTGAAACTCTGCACCCATTAAACAACCCTCTGTTACCCTCTCCACTCCCACCCCAGCCCCTTGCAACCACCACTGTACTGTCTGCCTCTGTGAATTTGACTATTCTAAGTACCTCATGTAAGTGTAATTGTACAATATTTGTCCTTTTGTGTCAGACTTCTTCATTTAGCATAATGTCGAGGTTCACCCATATTATAGACATGTCAGAATTTCCTTACTTTCTAAGGCTAAATAATATTCCACTGCATGCATATATCACATTTTATTTGTCCATTCATCTGTCACTGGACGCTTGGGTGCTTCCACCTTTAGGTTATTGGGAATAACGCCGCTATGAACATGGATTTACAAATATCTGTTTAAGTCCCTGCTTTCAGTTCCTTTGGGTAAATATCCAGAAGTGGAATTGTTGGCTCATACGGTAATTCTACGTTTCTTTTTTCTTTGTCTTTTCTTTTTTCTTTTTTTTTCAGGAACTGCTGTATCATTTTCCACAATAGCTGCACCATTTTACATCTGTAGCAGCAATGCATGTGTTCTAATTTCACCACATCCTTGCCAACACTTGTTATTTTCTGGGTTTTGTTTGTTTTAATAATAGCTATCCCAATGGGTATAAAGTGTTGTCTCATTATGATTTTGACTTGCGTTTCCCTAAGAGCTACTGATGCTAAGCATCTTTTCATGTGCTTCTTGGCCAGTTGCATACCTTCTTTGGAGAAATAGCTATTCAAGTTCTTTACCTATTTTATTTTATTTATTTATTTATTTATGTTTGGCTGCGTTGGGTCTTCGTTGCTACGCACGGGACTTCTCTAGTCGCGGAGAGCAGGGGCTGCTCTTCATTTCGGTGCATGGGCTTCTCATTGTGGTGGCCTCTCCCGCTGCGGAGCACAGGCTGTAAGCACATGGGCTTCAGTAGTTGTGGCACGCAGGCTCAGTAGCTGTGGCTCACGGGCTTAGTTGCTCCGCGGCATGTGGGATCTTTCCGGACCAGGGCTCGAACCTGTGTCCCCTGCATTGGCAGTCAGATTCCCAACTACTGCACCACCAGGGAAGCCCCTTTACCCATTTTTGAATTGTTTTTGTTGTTGTTACAGTCATTGAGTTGTAGGAGTTCTTTAAGTATTCTGGATATTAATCTCTTATCAGATATATGATTCACAAATAATTTCTCCCATTCCATGGGTTCCCTTTTCACTGTTGATAGTGTCCTTTGATGCACAAAAGTTTTTGATTTTGATGAAATCCAATTTACCTATTTTTGTTTTGTTACCTGTGCTTTTGGTGTCAGAAAATTTTTAGTTTTTAATTTAAAAACATCATGTCTCCTGCCTCATAGTTACCACTGGACCAGGTCTTTTTTTGCTAGGATTCTGTCGGAGGTAAATGCATTTTGAAGTAGAGAACATGGATAATTGCACACTTGGAATGGAAAACTAAGGTAATTATGTTCCAGATGCAAACAGAGAGGGTTCACCAATCCATCCTGGAAGTCTTTTGTCAGAATTGCCTAAATAGTGCAGGGGTGGAGTTTAGGACACAAGGCCTTTGGGGACCAAGCAGACAAGGCGTGGAGATGAGCTGGAGATAAGATAGAATGAAATAAGAATATGAAGAAGCCCTTTGTTTAGAAGGTTGGGAAGGGGGCAGCTTCACTTTGCTGAGGGATACAAGGTGTTAATCACACTCTGGTGGAAGACCCCTGCTTATTCTAACACAGAGAGAAGGGTTTGGCCTCTTCCCCAAATTCAGTTGTATTAAGGTGTGAACCCTCAGTGATATTGTAGGCTCATTTTAGACTATAGGACAATGGATTGCCATTACTCATTTCAACCTGCTCTCCTAAGAAATTCAAACTTACATTCAACTTGGTTTACCCTTTGCTTTCTAGAAGAAGTTGCTCTGGGTGTGAAAGTTCAAGGCAAAAGTTCATACCTTCCTACCAACTCAGGAGATCCGACAGAAGTCTTGCCCTCTGAGGGGCCCAGTCCAGAGCAAGGCCTAGTCCTTGGGCTGAATCAGCTGAATATCCTCCTGGATATATCCTTTCCCTTCCTCAAGACATTGACTCCGAATAGACACTCAAAGCTAGATCTCCCCTCAGGGTCTGTCTGGTCCCTTCACTGCTTATCCTCCGGTTACTTCTGCTGAGACCAGACTACCCCATCCCTCTGCTGACTCTGGAGAATTGAAAGCTACTCCCATGGTACATAGACTTCTTGCTACTTCACAAACACACAGCCTCACCTGGGACAGGATGCAGCAGGAAAGTTAACGGTGGTCATTGCTTGCCTCTTAGGGTCTCTAGACAGTTTGATCATTGCCTTCCAGGACTTTATTACCTTGCAGTCTCCTGGGCCAATCAGAAATATTTCCCCTGACAGGGTAATCAGCCCGGCGTGACCTACTTACTAGTTAAGTCTCCAACCTGATCAAAGGGCCTTCTGCTCAGACACCTCCTGCTCATTATTTAGAGCACAGACCTGTGTCCACTCGAGAAAGCCTGGAACCAGGAGAAAGGTGACTTCACGATCAGAGGACGCCACACTCCGTGTGATCAGCAGGTAGCAGTGATCCTGCCACATGGGCTGAAGTAGTGGCAATGGGGACACTTTGGGGATGGGGGGAGGGCCTTGGTATGAAAAGCATTTATCAGGGTGTTTAAGTGATAACAGGGAAAACTTGTAATGGGAAACTACTAAAATCAATTTATTGTAGAGCATCTGTGACTATGATTTCTCTTGGAGGACTTGGGGCCAGCCTAGTGAAACATCCAGATTTCTGGTTGGAAGATGCCACCAAATTTCCATAAATTATCCATGCACATCTTTTAGAAAGTGTTCAAAGCAAAATCTCTGACCTCCTGTCTTCTCCTGACCCCAATGTCCTGATACCATGTCTTTCCTGCCTGTATCTCTCTGATAGTTTGCCCAGAAAAACTCAATTCGTGTCCCAGTTCTATTTTAATCAGAGTCAAACCCTCTGGAGGGAAGGCAATAACTGAGCAGCTATTAGAAGTGGGGAATAGTATGAGGTTAGCCTGTTGTTGTAATGAAAAGCAAACAAGCAACAAAAGATAAAAAATAATGACATTACCTGCAAGGGCATTCACCAGGAACTTTACCTGCTACTTACAGTATTTTTAGAAGGAAAAAAGAAATAAATATGGTGCTAGAAAACCTCAGATATTTAAGTGATTTTTGCCAAAGTCACACTGTCAAAAACAAATTAAGCAGTTTGATATTAGATATTTTTTGGAAGAACGTGGAGAATGAACAAACCAGCAAAGAAAGAAATTGTTCATGGAAATTAAGTCTCCTGACTTCCAGATCAGATTCAGCTAAAAATACTCTTACTTTTATATATGCCTCATCTTCATGTCACAATCTTGATGCACCTGGAGTTTGCACACACTAATTGCTGTACCATGCTGTATGCAGGTGTATGATTCATTCATCTTTGAAAATCTTATTTACTTTTTCAAGTCAATTAGTTTCTCTGAAACATCGTGTTGCTGCCTAATAGTCAACAGTTCAGCATCATTTTTTTTTTTCTGCTTCAAGAAATAGCAGAGAAAATGACAGTAGCAGTTTAAGGTGGGTTTTATTTCTCCATATGTAAATATATATATTGTTTGATCAAAAAATGTATTAGTATTCAGGTGAAGATTATAGTGATCTTTTTGAACATCTGTTTTATCTTGACTAGTTTTAAATTCAGGAGCAGCAATTTCATCGCAATTCAACTTGTTTCTGTTTTATTATATCATACTACGCTAATCTTAAAGGCCCCTAATAGCTTTCATTCAATTTAGACCAGAATATCACAAATCTCTAGACTGAGTAGTATAATGCCCACTATTCAAATAAAAGCAAGTTATTGTAACATAATGACACCTCCAAATGCTAAAAGCAGACCCATGGATATTAAGTTGAGGTAGAGAGACCAGTATTCCTACTTATTATTTTAGGGCAGAAATATCCCAGTTACACTGATTGCAAAGTAAAATGGAAACCATATGGTGGAGAGGGACTTGGGAACCACACAGACTGGATTATAATTCCAGCCCTTACACATAGAAACTGCATGACTTTGGGTAGATTATGAACTCCCCCAGAATTTGAATTTCCTCACCTGCAAAATGGCGATAAACATCTACACATTATGATTGATGTGGCATAAAAGAAAACTAACACAAATGCCATGGGCAGTGCCTGGTCCTTAGAGCAGGTGGCATTCAACAAAGATTAGTCCCCTTCCCACCGTTTCTTTGCCTGCACTACAACATTGGAAATATACAGCTATAAAAAGTTGTCTTGGAAGAGACTGAATTGGAAACTTGTGTTATGAAAAACAGGATTGCAAGGGTGTCAATTCTGAGGCATGAGGATTTGTGAGCATATACTTGGAGCTTTATGCCTGCAAGATACTTGTAGAGCTTTTATAGCTTTAAGAGAACAGTCTGGATGCCATCTTCTTCCTCTGCCATAGAACTTCCTTTCCTTTTCTGAGATTTGTGGACAGTACCTTGTACACCTCTAAAATAATGCAATTCTTTCCCTATTATCTGGACTATTCTAATAGTTACAAAACAGTATTTCACCAGCAGAGGCTACTACAGTTTATATAAAGGTTACAAACTGAAACTTCCTCTAAGATTATGCAATGAATTTCGGGGGGGAAAGGGAGGAAATACTTTAAGTTTAAAATTTTATAAAATAAAAAATGATTACTTGTTGCATATGTCTATCATACTATGTTATATTTATATACATTTGTTTCCTATTTTATTTATTTATTTTTAAATATTTATTTATTTATTTGGGTGCACTGGGTCTTAGTTGTGGCATGCGGGATCTTCGTTGCCTTGTGCAGAATCTTCATTGTGGCATCTTCGTTGCGGCACATGGGATCTTTTAGTTGCGGCATGCAGGTTCTCAGTTGCAGTATGTGGGATCTAGTTCCCTGACCAGGTATCGAACCCGGACCCCCTACATTGGGAGCGCGGAGTCTTAGCCACAGGACCACCAGGGAAGTCCCCTGTTTCCTATTTTAGTGTGTAAGTTCCTTGAGGGCAGAGGCTGTCATAAGTGCATGTCATAAGTATGTCATAAGTGTGTCATAAGTGTCATGGTGCCTTGCTAAGCACAGAGTACACAGTAGGTGCTCAATAAACACTTTTAAAAATGTACTAAGAATAAATCTTGGTAGACATAAAAATACATGAGTACAATCTATTGACATGGCCAGGCCCACAAAATTCAATTTCCAGCTGTCAAAATCTTCCCCGTCTTTCAAGGCCCAGCCCAGAAGCAAAGGAACTTCTTCCCAGACTCTTCCCTAATCCTTCCACAACACCGAGAGGTAATATTCCTCACTTTTGCATTCTCATAGCGCTTCATACCTCTTCTTTTTGAACACCTGCCACTTTATGCCTCGTGTTATAATCTGTTCAATGACTTAGGTATAAATTATTATTAACTCCTGACTATCCATTATTGCATCATCCTCAAATGCCTCAGAATCCTCACCAAATGCATGTCGAATTCACCCTTTATTCAGCAGCTAACCTCTGAAATCCTAAAGTTAAAAAACAAAGTTTTAAAGTAGCTTCAGAACCCTTTTGGAAATACATATATTCATAACAAGATGAATATAGGAAAATACTGAACTTCATGTAATAGAAGGATACTACCTGGATTTGCATCTGGGCTCCATCATTTATTTGCTGCTGGATCATGGTCAAGTTACGTAGCCTCTCTGTGCCTCAGTTCCTTCATCTGTAAAATGGGGATGATAATAATACCTAACACTTATGGTTGGAGACAGTATAGGCAGAGGTCTTTGAGGAGAGCTTGTCACATAGTGAGCGCTCAGTCATTGTCATCTACTATTTAATCATCACCATCATCGTCATCATCACCATCATCGACTCAGAGAAAGATTCCTACTTTATATTCAGCTTCTCAAAAGAATACCAGATATTGGTGATGTGAAAGGAAGTGACATTGATACGATGTTTTAAAATTCTATTGTGGTAAGAACACTTAACATGAGATGTACCCTCTTAACAGATTTTTAAGTTCACAGTACAGTATTGTCGTCTATAGCACAATGATATACAGTAGATTTCTAGAACTTACATCATTTTGCATAACTGAAACAGTGCCTGTTGATTAGCTGTTGCTCATTTCCCCGTCCCTGCAGCCCCTGGCAACTACCATTCTGCTCTCTGCTTGTGTGAGTCTAACTGTTTAAAATACCTCAAATAAGTGGATCATGTAGTATTTGTCTTTCTGTAACTGGCTTATTTCCCTTAGCATAATGTCTTCAAGGTTCATCCATGTTGTCACATATTACAGGCTTTCCCTGTTTTTAAAGGCTAGAGGTATATCCATTATATGGATGTAGCATATTTTTCTTTATCCATTCATCTGTTGATAGGTATGACAGGTATTTATGTTGTTTCCAAATCTTGACCATTGTGGATAGTGCTGTAAGGAACATGGTAGGGTCAATATGTTGTCAAGATCCTGATTTAAATTCTTTTGGATAAATACTCAGAGGTGGGATTGCTGAATCACATGGGAGCTCTGTTTTTAATTTTTTGAGGAACTTCCATACTGTTTTCCATAGTGGCTGCACCATTTTGCATTCCCTCCAACTTTGTACAAGGGTTCCAGTTTCTCCACACCCTCACCAACACTTGCTATCTTTTCCTTTTTTAATAGTAGCCATCTTAACAGGCGTGAGGTGATGTCTCACTGTGGTTTTGACTTGCATTTCCCTGATAATTAGTGTGTTAAACATCTTTTCCTATACCTGTTGGCCATGTGTATGTCCTTTTTGGAGAAATGTCTATTCTGGTCTTTGCCCATTTTTGACCAGATTATCTGTTTTTTGCTATTGCATTGTATGTGTTCCTTATATATTTTGGAAATTAACCACTCTCTGATATATGGATTGCAGATATCTTCTCTATGTTGTAGGGTGCCTTCTTACTCAGTTTTTATTTTCTGTGCTTGGCAGAACCTTTTAACCTGACGTAGTCCCATTTATTTATTTTTGCTTTTGTTGCCTATGCTTTTGGTGTGATATCCAAGAAATCACTGCCAAGACCAATGTTCTGAAGATTGTCCCCTATGTCTTCTTCTAGGAGTTTTACAGTTTCAGGTCTTACATTTAAGTCTTTTATCCACTTTGAGTTGATTTTTGAATATCGTGTAACACATGGGTCCGGCTTCTGATATGTATTTTTACATTGATAAATTGGTGCTTTACTTTGCCATTCAGTTTCTGCAGTCCCCACTTCAACCTCACAGTCCACCTTTTTTTTGTCTTCTAAAATTCCTTCTCTTCTTGTAAGGTTCATCTTTGCCTGGACAAGGCCCAGTTCCCTCTGCTTTGCCGCATTGCTTACTGACCCAGATCTGCACCGCTCCCGATGCCCTCCTGCCCTGCCTGCAGCCAGCACTGAGTCAACAAGCAAAATCTCACATGTAATATTCTGAGATTCAACCCTCAGGTAATAATTCTCCTGCATTTAGTCCTACATATCCTTTGGTTCACAGAGACATTGAGTCTAGTGCCTTGAAATGGCTGACCTAAATAATATCCCTAGATTTTTGAAGATCATATAAAGTTTATTTTAGTAACAACCGTGAGTCATCACAGAAGCTAATGAACTTGGGAATTCTATATAAAATCATCCAAGCATATAAAGCCTATTTTCCAAGGTTCCTTTTTCTCAGTTCAAGGCCACAAAAATTGGAATGTGATAGAACTTGACTCCTACATTTGCCATATGTCTAAATAATATGAGGTATAAATGAAGCCAACAAAGTGTTAAATAAAACGTGCTCTGTTCTCCTACCTTGACAAATATACCACAGTAATGACCTATAAAGGCCAAGGTTGAAGTTAGAATTCTCAGACTCCTTGGTGGTCTGTACAGGAATGTGGTAGCAGAGGGAAAGCTGGCCCCAACCCTGGGCCAATCGCCTTCCCCTTCACCCGAGCCCTGTTCTCACATGAGGGGCCTTGCATCCCCTGTGTGGACTTCCTAAGCCCCATTCAAGCTCCATCCACACATCCTCACCCCATTCAGACAGCAGCACTTTGGGTACCGTTTGGCTAAGCAGCCTGCCTTTGAAGATAGAAGAAACCATGCAGGCTCACAGCCATTTGAGGAAGGTCCTCAGTATGCAGTCTGTTCCAGAAGAGAGGGCACAAGCTCTGGGTGGGAAGCGGTGCAGTGTGGGGAAGGCCGGAGAGGCACATTCTAAAGCACAAGGTCTAGGCAGGGGCCTTCTTGCCCAAATCAACTGCTCAGTCAACAGTGGTGCATCATGGGCTCTCAGCCCTTTCATTTCAGTCTCAGCCACAGTGAACCGCTCCGTGGAAGCACAGACTTTCCTTGTGCTGTCAGCATCTTACCTCAAGCTCAAGCTCAAGCCAGACTTTCTGCCCCAAGGTCATCTCCAACACACACAAATGCAGCCCGGAAATACCAGGAAGTTCACAGCCTAGGAGGAAACCTCAACTAGTCCAGGTCAGAAGCAGGTGGGCAAAGCTTTCCATTTTTTTCAGGCAGACAATTCTGAACAGCTTTCCCTGAGCTTCTTTTGAGATCCCGGTGGAAACAAGCGCACCGCTCACAGCAGCAACCTCAGCAGCCCACCCTGGTCTCAGCTTTTCCTCCTTCCCTGTCTCACTCTCTTGCTTCCTGGTATCACCACCCAAATAAACCACCCACAGCCCTCAGGCTCTGCTTTGGGGGTACTCAGAGGAATAAAGGGACAAATCCAGAAAACAGAAGGACCAGCGCCTTCCAAGAACAATCACATCATCGACACAATCTCACTGGTGACCTTTACCAACGATCATGTAAGCACGTTTTCTAAGGGGAAAGTGTCCTCGACATTTATATTACAACCTAAACTCTTACTAAAGAGGTCTTTTGTTTGGTTTTATTTTTCTTGGAGGGGGCGGTCCCTTTGCTCTTTCCTCTACCTCAGTGTCTAAATTCCTCATGTGACGCCTCACTTTCCTGGTTAAAATTTCCCTGAATTGACTGTGGCCTGTTGGGAGACAGGATGGAAGGAGTTGCTTATGGAAAATGAACAAGAAGGGGGAGCAGACCAAAGGCGAAAAGCTGCGACTAATTTTGACATCAAAGATGCCAATGAGGGGCTTCCCTGGTGACGCAGTGGTTGAGAGTCCGCCTGCCGATGCAGGGGATGCGGGTTCGTGCCCCGGTCTGGGAGGATCCCACATGCCGCGGAGCGGCTGGGCCCGTGACCCATGGCCGCTGAGCCTGCGTGTCCGCAGCCTGGACTCTGCAACGGGAGAGGCCACAACAGTGAGAGGCCCGCGTACCGCCAAAAAAAAAAAAAAAAAAAAAAAAAAAAAAGATGCCAATGAACATGACAAAGTGCAAACAGCACTTTTTACAGCTGACCATCATGCTGAAGACTGTGGACTCCAGATTTTCCTGGACAGTCCTACTTCAAATTTTTGACATGAGATTTGGAAACACATTCCTCTTGTCAGACCATTGTCCAGATTTAAGCTTCAGAAAATAGGGTCCCAGACCATCCACGGCCGTGGCCAGGCGAGGGGCTGCTTGCTGTCGCCTGGGTACCTTGTGAATCCAGGGCCTCCTATGGGGCACATAGCATCCAGGTCCTGGGTGCCCATGAGAAGGGGCTCTTTGACAAGGCCAGTCAACACCTCTTCTTGCACAGCCTGGCCCGGTTAGGTGTGCGCCACTGCAGAAAGCCCCTCTGGGCCGGGTTATTACCAGCCTCTAGAACCACCTTATTCTGCACCAGCTTTTATTAATGGCTCTGAGTGGAGACCCCTTTGCCCAGACTTTGGCCCCTGTGGGAGGGAGCCTGCTACCTGGGGCTGGCTTGCCTTGACTCTTTGACAGCTTACTTCTGTTTAATTTCCGGCAATTTTTTGAGTTGGAGCAGGCAGAGGATTAAAAGAGAAAAGCAAATTAAAAAAAAGAAAAAGCAAAAGAAAATAGGGTCACCATGCAATAGGAGGCCTAGTTAGGGTCATGGGGCTCTTCTTCCTCACAACCTGATTCTGCCCTGAGGCCTTCAGCCACTCCTGACCTGAAGGTGAACCTGATCACCTCCTATTTCCATCCACATTTCAAAACCAAAAATGGGGTGGGTGGCAGAGAGAAGATCAACCTGGGAAACCAGTCGTCTTAGAGCTGGAAGCAACCTTTGACTAATCCCTCACTTAAAACATGAGATTCTGTCATCGGATTATAGTCTAAGGTAATGTATTGGAGTTTTCTATAGATTTGGAAAAAAGAATCCTAAAACCTGAAATGGTTGCACATTGCTATTTAATAACGTTTTCTACAAGCAAGGGGCTATTTTGTACAGACTGGTGTGGAGGGATCCTGCAAGGTGTAACCGGAGGGAATTGATTTCATTACCTGTGCTGCCCCCTAGTGGTGGAGATAAAAAGGCACACCCAAGGACAGGACACAGGCATTAGGGCCTCCAGGAAACAGACATTTACAGACATGAGAATAGACAATTACCCATCATTAGAAACAATGCCACAATAACCTAGGTTTTGTCCTCCTCTTCAGAAATTAGAATAGCATCCATATGATTATGAATAAACATCTTTTATGTACAAGCACTGGAAAACCACATTTTAACCTTCAACACAAGACCATGGAAAGATGTTTTAAATATTCCAAGTATTATTCAGCAAACATTTATCGAAATGAGCCACGAGCCTGGCACTGTTCTAGGCTCTTGGGATAAAAGGTGAATAATACAGAGCCTTTGACTAAAAGAACTCACAGTTCTTGCCCCGGAATGAACAATCAACAAATCATTACACAGTGTGATGTGCACGATAATAGACAGTATAATGATATTTTTCATATTTTCCATCTAAACAATAGCAATTCAACAAAGTGAAAATGGAGGAGTACAGGGATATTCTCTTCCCTCTCCTAATATCTGAAACAAACCTTGCATATCTGCCGCTCCAGGCTCCTCTTTTAAGATGCAAACACCCAAGAAGGCTGATGTCCTTGTCAAAGCCTGAAGTCAGCCTGAGGTCACAAGATGCAATTTTCAACAGATAATTTTCCTCATCTTCCATAAACTTTTAAATGTAGTCTTTGAAGACAAAACAAAACAAGAAACCACCACCAAAAAAAAAAAAAAACCCACTTGCCTACTAGTCACATTTTAAAAAACACCTATTAACTTTACCACTTTATTATTTTTCCAGTATCAGTGTAGAAGCAACAAATTGTCTTTTTACAATAATATTATTAACAGCATCAAACACGAGAGATATCAGAGAAGAAAAGCTAACTTGCTAGATATAGGATTGCCAGAACAAAACAATGGAAAGGGAAAACTTTTAAAACAGGCCAAATTACAAATTAAATAGAAAATAGTTGGAAGTATGGTAATGAAGCAAACAGAAAAAACTTAGCAAGCAGTATTGGGAAAAGAAAATAGTGTCCAGAGTTCTGGGTGTCTTTGTCATCAAAATGAAAGATGGAAAAGAGGCAATATGCATTGATCCAACTGTGTTAACAAATTTCAGTAAAAAGCAAATTGAGGGACTTCCCTGGTGGCGCAGCTGTTAAGAAACCACCAGCCAATTCAGGGGACATGGGTTCGAGCCCTGGTCTGGGAGGATCCCACATGCCCAGGAACAAATAAGCCTGTGCGCCACAACTACTGAGTCTGCGTCTAGAGCCCACGTGCCTAGAGCCCAAGCTCTGCAACAGGAGAAGCCACCGCAATGAGGAGCCCGCGCACCTCAACGAAGAGTAGCCCCACTCGCCACAACTAGAGAAAGCCCACGCGCAGCAATGAGGACCCAATGCAGACATAAATAAATAATTAATTTTTTTTAAGTAAAAAAAAAAAAAAAAGTAAATTGAAATATATTCATCCTCAGTAGGTAAACAAAAGGAATAATGCTTTAGATTTGGGCAAATTTGGTTAAAAAGATGGAAGCAATTTTGAACCATTTAAAAAGAAAGAATCAGGCCAAAATTTAGGATTAATTTAATTGGGATTTAATTAGTAATTTAGGGGGAAATGTTACCTAAACAAGTGATGACCAAGGAATGACAGACACATTCTAAAATATCAAAAGCTAACAATGTCTTCATGTCGGTGTCTCTGAGAAAGGACTAAAAATGATAGTTTTCACTTTTAAAGAAGGTTGAATGAAGTTGGATCACAGAATCTACCTCCCTCAATACCTAATGACATAAATAACCCCAAAAGAAACAGCATAATTGCCTTGGAGTAACCAACATGGAAAAGGGTATAATGCCAGGCTATAAACTTCAGAAGGAGATGTTGGTTAATGATAGAGAAAAAAATTTTTGACAAGGCTCTGCCAGGTATCAAACCTACTCTCATCAACAAAATGAGTCCAGAGCCATTGGACAGCACAGGTGCAGAGTCTAGGACCACAAAACCATAAGGACTTCCAAGAATGTTCACTGTTGTCTCAAAATGAAAAAAAAAAAAAAAAATGAAAATTAATAAAAATTTCATTGCTGTATTATTAAAATCCCTTCAAATATTTTTATAGGAAAATTATATGTAATGTGAAATATGTGATCCTTTTAACATGTTTGATACAGTAAAAAACAAGAGTGTCTCCAAAATCGAAGACCTGCCATAATTTCTAAGAGGCCCTGCTACTATTTTCTGTATTGAGAAGAAGGGAACTGAGGGAATAGCTTTTTCTAGTCATGGAGTGAAAAAAAATTGTTCTAAAGGTCAGCATTGACTTCACTTTTGCTTCAGTTATTTTTTTCTGTTAAATTCAAACAAAATATGACAACTCAAAAAAATTTTTTTAAATCTTGCTGGATAGGCTCCACAGGAGAGTGGAAATGACAGAAAATTAAAAACTTAAGAACAGTGACTAGAAATTACTCAACCTGAAAAACAGAGAGAAAATATTTTGGGGAAAAAAAAAAATGAACAGAGCCTCAGGGACCTGTGGAACAATAGCAAAAGTTATACTACTTGTGTCATTGGAGTCCCAGCAGGAGAGAGAAAGAATGGGGAACTGAAAAAAACATTTGAAGAAATAATGACTGAAAGATGTAAACCTGTTGATTCACAGAACTGAATGAAATCCAAATCAAAGAAATCCATGCCAAGACACATTGTAATCAAACATCTGAAAACTATAGACAAAGAAAAAGATCTAAATGCAATCAGAGAAAAATGACACATTTCCTATGGGGAACGGCAATTCAAATAACAGCAGATTACTCATCTGAAACCGTGAACCATGGAGGTTGGCAGGAAGTGGCACAACATTTTTCAAGTAATAAAAGAAAGGAGGAGGTGATGTGAATTCTGTGTCCAGAGAAACCGTCCTCAGGAAGGAAAAAGAAATAGACATCCTCAGATGAAAGAAAACTAAGACAATGTGTCACCAGCAGACGTACCCTTAAAGAATGGTGAAATGCAGTTCTCCAGGTAGAAAATGATAACAGAAGAAGGCCTGGGATTTCAGAAAGAAAGAAAAAAAAAACAGCAAGGGAATGGGTAAAAATATGGGTAAATATAGTCAGCTATCCTTCTCATGAGTTTCTGAAATCATATTTGATGGTTGAAGCAAAAATTAAAACAGCATCTATTTGGTGCTCAATATATGTAAAAGAAACACTTAAAAGAATTATGTTCTAAAAGTAGGGGGTTAAAAGGACCTAAATGGAAGTAAGTTTTCAATACTTCACTTGCAGTTAAACATCAAAATCAATAGATTGTGATGTCATGTATGTATCTTGTAATACTTAGAGCAACCACAAAGAAAGGTATACAAAGCAATATGCTCAAAAAAAGTGCAAATTAAACAAGATGGAATCCTAAAAAAAAGAGGCCAGGCACCCCACAAAAAAACAAGAAAAGAGAAATAGGAAACAAACAGAAAACAAATAATAAAGTAGCAGACTTCAGCTCCAACATTTCAATAATTGCTTTAAAGGGAAACGGTCTACACATACTAATTAAAGGGCAGAGATTAGTAGAATAGATTTTTTTTTAATTAATTAATTAATTAATTAAGTTTTGGCTGCGCTGGGTCTTCGTCGATGCGCGAGGGCTTTCTCCAGTTGCGGTGAGCGGGGGCCGTTCCTCATCACGGTGCGCAGGCCTCTCACTGTCGCGGCCTCTCCCGTT